TAGACTTGTGTGTGTCTAAGTGGTGTAGCAGGTCACTGACCATTACCCCTTGGATTATGGGGGCTTCATTCTGCTCCCCGTCGCTGTCTTCCAGCTCAGGGGCTGGGTACCTTGAGAACAACTGGTCTGACTATTAAAGACTGAGGCAAAGGCGGCATTAAGTACCTCAGCCTTTTCCTTGTCCTTTATTACTATGTTTCCCCCCGAATCCAATAAAGAATGGAGATTTTCCTTAGCCCTCCTTTTGTTGCTAAACATTTAGTTTCTATAAATGAGAACTCTATAATAGAGTCTTAGCATAGCTCCCACTGAGGAACTGAGCTGAGGAGTATCTTTTGCTGTAGTTAGTCAGGAGGGTCAAGATTTGTATGTGTACTTCAGTGGAACCCAAATTTGATACGTTTTACTTTTGTTTTCCCTTAGGCTGGTGATTTGCAATCAGGTGCTAAGAACACTCCTGTTTCTCCAATCCCTGCTCTGCTTCCAGAAGGACAGGCAAATTCCCTCACAAACACTGGGAAAGGATTACCGGTGCCTCAACTTACTGCAGTACATGAAGTCATGGACCATAGCCCTGGAGCTGGCCAATGCACATGCAGGTAAGCAGTGCCAAGACAGACACGGTAAAGGTGTTGTTCCATGCACACTTTTCCCAGCAGCAGCCAGTTCTAAGGCGTTCCCAGGACCCACCTCAACTGCCAGCCGCTTGTTCCTGACACCCTTTCAGCTGTGCCAATACAGCTGTTTATGTGTATGTTTGGGAACTGAATCGTGAGACTAATTCAGGTTAAACTGCTTTTTTTTGCAGAATTTTTCTATAATACCTGTTTAATTCCCCAGGCCTGATTCGCAGTGTGGCCTTACGGACAGTTGTGTTGATAAAAGTCATATGGCTGTCAAGAGAACAGCACAGGCAGGAAGGAAGGAAAAATTGTTGGAAGTACCTTAAGTCAATATTGCTGCCAAAGGCAATGTATCTTCAAACTTACAGCTTTGTGGTGTTGCTGCTGACAGCTGAGCTAAGCTATTGCTGTTCCTTAGAGTCCAGTGTCCGTCTTGTAGTCAACCTCAGCAATGCTGACACATCCATAGGTATATTCGTATCAGTTTACTCATCAGCAGTGATAAGCTAAAGGTTAAATTAAAAGAACGTAGTTGCCAACTCTGCACTATGGATACCTGCTAACTTGAGGGCTAATAATCTTGCAACATCTTCTGTCAATTCTCATGGTCTCCACAGTTCAGTAGAAAATAATTTCCAGAGTGGCATTGAATGAGGTGCAGTTTTACCATACGCTTAATCCAGACTAACAACGGGCAGCCAGTGGAAAGAGCTGATTCTACACTTCCCCCAAACTTGTGTACATCAAGTGCTGGCACTTCTTCTCTTGCACCAGATCAAATGGTCATACGATGCAAGAAGAGTCAGTTCCCTTTGAGAATCTGATGGATAACTAATTTTTTTTTTTTTTTGCGGGAACACTAGCCTAAATTGAAGGGATTAGGAAAAGCAGAGGTAATGAGCTATTCTTCAGTGAGGATGTAGCTACAGAAACACTTAGAAAGGGATCCCTCCTAACCTTGTGAAGTTTTTTAAAAGGAATTCCTTGCTCTTTGCAAACCCAGTACTGCTGAATTTGCAAAGCACCACTCTTGTGGAATAGAATCTGGATTAATAGTGTATTTAAAACTGAAGTTCTCATTTAAATTATGTTAATTTTAGTCTGACACTGATGTCACACAAGTGTACATTCTACCTGTGCAAAATGCACATGAAATGTTACTAAATCAAGTCAGCATTTTATACCCACTTGACGCTCGTATTGCAGTGATTTACATCACTGCAATATGAGGCATCAGTGAATAAAATTACACTAGAATAAGTCTTGTGTCAGAATCTCATCCCATATACGTGTTTTGTACTGTTGTTTTAATGGAACATTGCAAAATTGAAAAATCCTTAGTAGCCCTGCCAATGCTTTAGCATTTAAAAGGTCCTATTTTCCATTTCCCCATAGTCCCTTTATGCTACTCCATTAGTTTAAAAAGGCCATAAAGAGAGCACATTTAGCCACTTGGGAATATTTTCATCTCTGTGTTGCTCTTGCCTTTGGCATAGTAGATATGTTAGGTTGTGGCTGAGGAGAAAGGGTCATGGCTGGCCCGCCTCTCTGTTCCAGCTATTCTTGGTTGCTGGAACAGCTCCTAGGGGCCCCAGGCTGCCAATTGTACTAAAATTGCTGGTAGCCTTAAGACTATTCAAGGAGTAATTAGCTACCAAATGTGGGTAATTGTGACAGAGTCTAGCTAATACTGCTTGTGTCTGAACAGACTAATTAAAGGCTGCACACATGAGAAGACAAAAAAGCCTCTTCTTTTAAGGAAAAGCATTATTAAAAGAGAAAAATTGATCTAGTATTAAAAAAAAGGTTCTGTTCCTTCTGGTAGGATCCTAGCAGTTTTTGATAATTAAACTTGGAAAACGAAGCACAACTAGAGTTTTTAAATTAAATACTTTCACTGTGGGACCCTTCATACTCTGCTTTTGATTTCACAAAAAATATTTTATATTTTTTACAGAAAGGTTGTTCAGTGCAAGAACATTTAAAAATTATTCTTGCCTATGAAAAATCAGTTCTATTTCTGCTATCATCAGAGACATTTCTAATTTAAAGAAGCCCAGTTGGAGATACATCATCATGGGTACATAAGTTCTGTTTCTCCCTCTGTACAAAATGAGATGGGGAGGGGGAATAATCTTCCGCTGGTCTGACAAGACTACAGTCCTCCATGCATCAGTGTAGCTGTGTTTGTCGTAATTTGTACCTGTGCTCCTCCCTTCTGCTGCTCCTACAATCAGTTGTGAGTAGTTCCATTCCATCCCGTTTATGTAACATGTGTCTTCAGTGCTACTTAGATATTTGCTAATACAATCATAAAATCTCACATCTTGGCTAAATTTTCTATGCCTCTAGCTGTGCTGCAGGAAATAGCAGATTTCTTAATTGCAGGAGTCCCATATATAGCTGATTCTATCTACTTCTTTTGTTAGTCTGAAGTAGATCACAGTTAGAAGAGAACAATCAGAATGAGGCCCTCGCAAGAGCAGAAGATTCAGAAGAAAACAGCTCCCTTTACTTCCTCCTGCCCAGCTAAACCAGATTATTTTAGACAACACTTCCATGTGTTCTAAGATGCTGCAGTATCACTAATACCCTCTCAGCTTTTCTTAGGCTGCTGTAGCGCTTCCCAGCCACCAGCCAGCCACCTGGCCACCCTCAGCAGTTTCTGTTTCTTTCTCAGACTTGGACTTGTAAAATGTCTCTCAGATACGGCAAACAACTTGCAGTGTCCTGCCTTGTGCTTTAGCCATAGCCGCTAAATTTGGAGTGCTGTCTGTCCGTCTTTCTCCTCCTGTCCTGATTGATTGGCTGTAAGCCTAAATTTAAGATGTAGGACTCTGAAATACACAAATTATCTCATTAAATACAACAGAACTGCAGCAGGCTTGGTAGCTGTTTATGGCTGCAATTAGTGACCAAATGTAGAGTCCCAAGCTGTCCGTCAATGCTAATTTTGCTAAGAAGGTAGGTAGAAAAGCGTACTTATGTAGAAAAAAAGCCAGTTCCTCTTCTAACTACAAAGGGGAATAAGCCGTGCTGTCTTGGTCTGTCCAAAGAGCAGAGAACTGTGAACTGACCTACGTATGCAAACACTCTGCAAAGTTCAAATCTGATGGAATTCCAGACATTTTACAGCTAGGAATACAGGTGTTACCTAATTACAGCAGCTGCAATTTTTTTTTTTATAGACTGCTTCAAAGAGCAGCTGATATAGTCTAGTCTCCCTGTTTAAATACCTTCGTACGCTATGCTGTGAAAGTGGATTAGAAACAACATATTGCAACTGGTCTTCATTCTCCAAAACAAAAGGAAACAAAGCTCCGTTATTGAATACAGTCTTTAACTAGAACAGGCAGCTTACGATTGTCTTTTCAATACAAATCTGGTCATCAGCAGAGTTTGTGGCTAACACTTGCTCTTCCTCTGTATCCTCTCTATTGACTTGCACTTGGGAATTCATGTAAGTGAGATGTTCTGCGTTGATGTGAGAGCTTCCGTGGAAATGTGAGGACATGGTAGCTGATTCTCCTGCTCTTTGAACTGAGAATTTGGGTGAGCTGACTGGCAACTCATAAAAAGACTCTTAGGTAAAGAGCAGCAGTGATACTGGTTTAGCGGGACAGTTCAATCTGAAACAGTCTTCAGGTTGCTTTAACTGGTTTTAAGGCTGAGGATGAAAGTTCTGTGCATGATGTATGTGGAAAGATGTCAGAAGGCCCATGACACAGGATTTCAAGAAGTCTCCTTGTTTACAGTCTTTATAACAGCAAGACGTATTTTGTGCTCCTTGGTATTAACAATTGGAAGCATCTTAAAAATGAAAGGCAATCATTGCAGCCCAAAGGAGGGGAAAGAAGTAGAAATTGCTCTGTAGCCTCATCACTCTCTTGTATAATTCAGGAAAGAAGAACCCAAAAATAGGAACGGGGAAATGTCTGTACCTTTTCAGAAAGTCTGACAGATGGTGCTATGGCATGCATCTCTACTGCTTGACCTGGAGGCGTTGTGGCTGAGACAGTGAAAATACAGTCATATAAGGTACATTTTAGAAATACCTGTCATCGTTCATCGTTATTCACATAACTTTACATAGACGGAAGTTGGGGCTTCTGTGTGGGTACTACCTTGCAGTAGAAACTTCAGGCTTGATAAATTAAATTAATGTGTGACACATGCAGCTTCCATCTGGATGCATGAAAAAAGACCAGACTTTTAAAGTTTTTAAAGACAAATCTGTGGTTTGGGTTGGGTTTTTTGTTTTGTTTTGTTTTTAATTGACAGTAAGTAGCAGCTCACATGTAAGAAAGCAAGTCTTTTTTCCCCCACCTACATTCAGATGCACAGCTGTGCTTCCCATACCTGCAATTGGTCATCATGTCATTAGGATGTGTTCTTTCCGTGTTTCTTTTTATGTTAAAGGATTAGTGTCATGTGTCCTATCTTGCCCAATGAGCCTGACGTTTCCTTTTCTCTTCAAGTGGCACAACTTCAGGTACTACAAGTGCCTGACCATTTACTTTACTCCAGCCTTCATCCAAGAGCAAAATGTTAGCCTGATGACCAGAGCGCACCTGAGAGAGATTTGTGTTTAACTGCATTTGCCCAAGGAAGGGATTAGGCCAAATTTCCCACCTCTGACCAAGGACTAATACCATTTTGTAAATCCGAGTGTTATCACCACGGTGTTCTCCCCTGCTAGATCACGTTAACAGAGGACAATGATCTGTCCTGACTTCCTTCTGGAAATTCTGCATGGTGACACACAAGTCGATGGAACAGAGCACCTGCAGCCCTGCACTGAGATTTCCCTCTTGACCCACGGTAGGCAAGTACTTCCTAAGACAGTGGCTTCAAGCAGCTTCCTGATCAGCTCACTGGTTGCTTTGGATTTCATTTTGAGGCATGCAGGCATCCACTGTGTCAGGAGCTTAAGCATGAAAATGGATCTCTGGATTCCAGACTCACTCACACCTCAT